AGATAACTCTGTGGTAGGCAGAGACCTGAAGAGAAAAAGTTAGTCCTGTGACATGACATAATCTGGTCTTCACCGTCGTTTTCATCTTGGTTTCTGTCCCTTTTTCACCTATTCCCAGCTCTCCTGAACCTACTGCAGTACTCCAAACTTGCTGTGATATTTTACAGATGCCCTATGATGTGCTTTCACAGGGCAGTTTTCTATCCTGTTTCCCAAACCATCTCCTCTCATCTTTCCACCTGGATGGAAAGGTATTTTTATACTTCCTTCTTATCATCGGCACAATACTCTCACTAGTCTCTTTCCTTGCCTCAAATAGACATAGAATTTAGTCAACATTGTACTCTAAAAACTCTGAGGGAAAAGCTTTGATAAGGACTGAAGCGTAGCTGGCATCCTAAGTAGCTCATCTACTGAGGTTGTCTTCATTTTTCATTGTCTTTGCATAGGCTATTTCACAACTGTGCACGATTGAAGTGAACTTCAGAAAACTACAAGTAACTCTTGTTTATTAAACAAATTCTTTTAAAGGAAGGTTCAATTGAATTCCATCCTCTACTGTGGAAGAAGTCAGTTTTGTACCTATGAAGCAAATTTATTTCAATTAATCTATGTATTTATTTGGTCTCCGAATATTCCTCTGAAGTGGTTGTAACACATTTCTGATTCCCCTGTTAATTAATGAATTAAATAGAATCTTTGATACATGTTCATTATATATTTATTGAGAGTCACAATTTAAACTTTCTTTTTAAAACTATCCTCTAACCGTGCATATGTGACACAGAGCCTGGCGTAAGGTAGACACCCAATGACTATGTGTTAATAATTAGAAAAATGAATTTAGGTAAGTAATGTCTCCTTGCTGTGGTCCATATCAAGTATGTAGGTCTAGATGATTCATCATAAAGGAAAGGTGTAGAATACTGGTGTGACACTTCAGCTACTATTGCAAAGTTGAAATTGAAAAGAGAAAATTCCCATAACCCTTTGGGAAGTGATGGGAAGAATCGGCTGCAGGGAATGTGCTGAGTCTAAGGGTAGCCCGAATGGCCCCAACACAGAGGCTGAGTCAGAGAGGTTATGAGGAGTGCTGGGCATGGAATAAAAGATGAGAAAAAATAAATGTCATGTAAGTCACACACTCCTGTTTCCTTTCCCTCTATTAAATATAGGTCTAAGGACCTGCAGATTTCCTCCTCCCATGGGTCTTTTAAAACCTATCCAACTATGAAATAATATATCATCCCAGCATTTTTTAATTGAAGTATCATCTATAGTTAAATTGTATAAAGAAAAAAAAAACCCTATGAGTCAGTTTCCAGATCTATGAGTGTTTTGAAGATTTTATAAATGGAGTTCCATAGAATGAAACCACCAGCTTCCTGAGAATTGTCTAGATTCACAAAGATCTATATAACTTCCAACTAATCAGGAAGAACTCCTAAAAATATTATCTGTAAACATGCATGAACTTCTAAGGCACATTTAAAAGCCAGATCTCCACCCTCAATTTTTCTCCCATCTTTATATAAATACAAGGTTGATATAGGAAAGGAAACTGAATTACTGTTTATTACATTGTTCCAAAATTAACGTGGCAATTTTGAAAGTACTAATGTACAATGCACATATTTCTCCCTGACACTATATAATACTGTTAGTACTGTTATTTTCACATTTTACAGATGTGAAAATTGGTGCTCAGAGAAGTTAAGTAACTTGCCTAAGGTCACGCCACTAATAGCAGCATCAACATTCAAATTCAGGAGGGTGGGCCTGGGTGGGCATAGCAACAAGGTGAGATTTATTTAAACCTGGGCCCTGTGGATACAGCCTCATGTTCAGAACACAGTGGGAGCAGCATGGAAGATCCTAATGATTTCCAGGGTGTCCCACTGCCCTCAGACACCAAGAGACATCGTTGGGAGTGCACTGTCTACATCAAAGACAGCAGAGTGAGCTAGAAAAACAATTTGAGATGAAGAAGTACCCCACCCACGAGGACTGCCAAGCCCTGGCAGAACGACTCAACCTGTAGGAGTACCAAGTGTAGGTGTGGTTCAAGAACAGCAGGGCCAAATAGTGCCATGGAGGTCATGGACAGGGAGCCCAAGGAACCTGGGCTGCGCCCACCTGCCCCAGGCCCCCTCACCCCCAAGCAGCAGCTGCAGGCCCAGGTTTCCAGAGCTCTCTTCTGTCCAGCCCCCTGAGAACGTTCCCAGCCTCAGAACCCACCACCAACTGCAGCCTCCACCAGGCCTGAGGGCGCCCAGGGCATAGTGCCCTGGACAGCACCCCTGCTGCCCCCAGCCCCATGCCAGGCTCATGCCAGGGCCCAAGCTAATGCCCAACCTTAGGCCCATTACCAGCTCCAAGACCATGCCCAGGTTAGGTCCAATCTCAGGTCCATTCCTAGGTCCATTGTCAGGTCCAGACCCAATCTTAGACCCAGGCTCATTCTCAGGCCCTGCCCCAGACCCAGCCCCAGGACCACGGTGGTCCCAGAGCCCTTATGCCTGCGATTTCTCTGTAGACATTCCAATATTATCTGACATCTCTGAGCTCCTCTCATCCCAAGATCCCTCCCAGCTCCCCTCCGTCTCCATCACCACATCTGGGCACCAAGATGGGAATGATTTTGAGGATAACAAAGACTCAGGCTCTGGGTCACTACTCGATTTATAGGGAGCTATGCCTGCAAAGCCCTGAAGATCTCAGAGGCCAGAGGGCCTGGAGCAGTGGCTGGTTACTTTCTGCTGGTGGAATGTACTACCCTTTAACCAACCTGCTGGAGGGGCGAATTTGCTGCCTTAGCTGTGGGCCATCATAGGTCACCCTGCTATGAATGTGCTCACCTGGTTATTTGGGTTTACTAGGACAGAAGGCTGTTCTTGGAAGCCCAAAAGCTTTCTTTCTTTCTTTTTTATTTTTTCGAGTATTTATTTTTTCAAATTAATACAGATACAATTTTTGGATTATATTGTTCTCACTTCCAGGGTAAAGTTACATTTGTAGAAGAGCCCCTAAGCCAGGGGCGTGTTATATACCCTCACAATGTACACATTAGGTGAGATCCTGCCTCATGCCCTCTCTCCTTCTGCCAAACTCCCCCTTCCCTCTTTATGAACTGTGCTGAAATAAACATTCTAGGGCAAAAAAAAAAATTCAAATTCAAGGCTAACTCTAAAGGTCACATTCCACTATGCCATTATGCCCCAGAAAAGAGTCTCTGGAGTGAAATTATATAATAGAAACATTAACATTTGATGAAGAGGAGAAAAAGACCAGACAAAAATTGTCATGTCAGTTCACAAGGATAGGAGGAGAGAGCAAGAGGTGTCAATACAGTGACCAATTGAACTATATTAGGTAGGACCTAATCAAGTCTGAAAGGATATTCTCAGGGTAACTTACATAGGTACTCATTTTAACCCAAACGCACCTATGAGAAGCTGCATATGCAATAACTTGAACACAAAGACTTTTCTAAGACATCTGCACTTAAAAGAAGTCTGTTGAACCTAAATTAAAATGTAAGGTTCCAATAAAGACTAGAAAACTTGACTTTCATAACTGCCACATGCAGGAAATTGCTTCCCAGAAAATATTTGTTCAATGACTGAGAAAAAACAGGAAGTCACTAGAAACTATTGGAAAAGGCTTGCCACACCAAGCTGAATATGAAACAGCATTTGGATGTGCAAGGGTGATATTATTTATTAAGTACCTACTATGTGCCGGTCATTGATTAAGTGCTTCATGTACATCAACTCCTTTAATTTTGGCAACAACCTATACAAACCATATTTGCAGTCTCATTTTAACAGAGGAGACAGAAAAATTAAGTAACTTATTCAAGCTCCTAAAACTTCAATCCAACAGATTTTTCTGGATACAAAGGTTATGCTCTTAGCAAATACACTGCATTCTGAACTCCAAACCTACACCGGAGTGAAGAAGTTCAGGGACTGCTTGTGCTAGAATGTGGCAGAGACTGTATGGTGCACCTACTTCACCAAAAGGTATTGAGCATCTAGGTGTCTGAATCATTGCTATGGAAAATTCTGCTATCTTGGGCGATGAAAATGCTAATGGCAACAGAAATTGGGCCTTGTATCCGCGGCTACTGGCTGATAACATCTCATTAATTGTATGCTTTTGTTCCAAACTAACCTATAGTTTTCAATGAGATAATGTCCTTGGAAACTTGTAAGATTGGGAGCGGGTGCACAGGTGTAATCTTCATCTATTGCTTCATCTATTCTGTATCATTCTAGGGAAGGGCATTCTCTATAAGGTTCCTGCTTTGATTAGGAAGATTGTGGGTGGAAGTCTGATCCACCAGGAACCAGATGATTCCTGCTAAAACCCAACATCTTCAAGATCTGATTAGCCTTAAAAATACACCATAGCTCAGTTTTTTAAATAACTTTTTTTTTTTTAAGTCTAGAGATTTCGGTCAATTCCAACGTAAGTATCCCGATCTTCACCACTACTTCCCTCGGCAATCCACACACATCTAACTCTAAACCCAGAAGCGCCGGCGGTGTGGCCGGGTACCCGCAAGTCCCTACGTCAGCTGAGCGCCGACACCGGACAAGCAGGCGGGGGCCGGGAACCGGGACCAAGAGCCGCGTGCTCCCCTCGCTGGCGTAAGGCAAGCCTCCTCCCACGGTCTCGGGAAGCCCCAACGCCGCAGGCTTCCTTGTCGTGGAGCCGCCAGGGCGTAGTTCCTCCACGGCTTCCTCCTCCAGCTGCGGCCGGGTCCCTTCCTGCTCTACGAGCCTCCACCGCCGGGGTTTGAAGCGCGCGCCACGGCGAGACCGCAGGGGGCGCGGGAGGGCGCGGGAGGCGCGTGCGCGCGGTGGGTCCCCGCCCCCGCCTAGAGGCCCCGCCCCTGCCTAGAGGCCCCGCCCCCAGCGCGGCCGGCGCGGCCGGCCGGCCCGACTCCCTCTGCAAACTCTTCTCGGCGGAGCGGGGAGCCGAGCTTCCTCCTCCCAGGGCTGCACCGCGCCACCCGACTTGTCCTTCCGCCCCTGCCTCCGCAGCTCGCCGGCGAGCGAGGGGGCGAGCGGAAGGTGCGCTGTGGAGCAGCGGCGGTCCGGGGTCGTCGGCGCGGGCCATGTCGCTGTGGGGCGAGCCGCTTCAGGCCTCGCCGCCCTCGGGCTCACAGCCGCCTTCGGCTGGCGCCACCCTCAACCGCCTGCGGGAGCCGCTGCTTCGGAGGCTCAGCGAGAGCTTGGACCGGGCGCCCGAGGGCCGGGGCTGGAGGAGGCTGGCCGAGGTGGCGGAGAGCCGGGGGCGTCTCCGGCTCAGGTGAGCGCGGGGCTCTAGACGGGCCGGGGCGCGGCCGAGCGAGCGGGGCTCCGGGCCGGAGGGGTGGACACTGTCGGGGACAGTCACCTTTTAGAGAGAGCCTCGAGGGGACCCAGTAGAGTCCTGGCAGCTTCAGGGGTTCAGTGGGGCCCGGGACTCCGGAAGGGAGAAAGCAAAAAAGGCAGGGCGCTGCCGCGCACCCTTTTCCTACCCTCCGCCTCTTGGGCTGAAAGAGAGAAGTCGAGGTTGACCTCAGGTATAGAAACGAAGGCTATCGGGAGACCGCTGTGCTAGGCAGGAATTCCAGGGGACTTCAAACACAAAAGGAGGATATGGACCCAGCCCTGGAAGACCCAAGGCAAGTGGGAGAGAAGCGCAGGTGAAGAGGTAATGAAAAGCAAAGGGCTGGGCGCAGGAATTCATGAAGGTTTTGAATGACGGTGGGAAAGACTGAAACTTGAACTCATTGCTTTCCTCCATCAAACCAAGTTATCAGATCTCTTCCAGAGGTCACCTTGAACGTTCACCTCCTAAGTAAAGCTGTTTTTCTTATCAGACTTGAAACGACTCTCTTAATGGTACTTGAAGTTATTCTTCTCGGGACTCTCTTACACTCTTTAGAATTTTTGAAGGCCCCAGACAGCTATGTGGGTAATATACATGACATACATTAATATATACAGATATTTGCCACATTTGTAATTAAAACCAAGAAACATTCAAAATATTTGCTTAAAGAGAACAATCCATTACATGGTAATAGATATACTCTAACACTTTTATGGAAAAACAAATTGTCCAGAACAAAAAATTAATTAGAAAAGTGACATTGGTTTACATTTTGAAGATCTCTTTAATGTCTTGTCTTAATCGCAGAGTTGGATTTTTTAATGTGTTTCTGCGTTGGGTCTGTTGCAGTATCCACAGGTCAGGGAACACCGGAACTTCCAGTGTACGCTCCTGAGAGAATGAATGAAAGAGATAAAAAAGGTCTTAGTATTACCCTGAAAATTCGTTTTAACCTTGTAGACTCCCTGAAAAGGTCTCAGGAACTTGCAAAAGATTCCCAGAACCACACTTAAAGCCATTATGCCATACCAGTGTTTTCAACCTTTTGAAAGTGCCTTTTGTCTCAGGGCACACTTAAATTATGTTGACCAAGAAAAAAATATATATATAATAAAAAGATGAATATACTTACTGTACCTTGAATGTCATTTTAAAATAATTTAATTAATGATATTTAAAAATTTTCACAACACACCTAAGATCCTCTCATGGTGCACCAGTGTGCCACAGCACACTGGTTGAAAATCACTACTCTATACTACTATTATGATTTTGGTCTGTCTTTGAACCCCTTAGCAGTTTTTTAAACTTCTCAAATGACTAAACTTTGTCTTGTATTATAATTATTTGTGCACATGGTTATTTACTCCATAAAAACAGGACCATCTGTTAGTATTACGTGTTATGAGTAGAACTATATCTTAGACTTGATGAATCGAGGAAGCAATTCACTTAAAATTATATCTATTAAGTGCTTATTATTTGCTAGAAGTTTCATAAGATAAAAAGTTAACAAATATTTAGCTCCTATTTATAAGGGCTTATCCAATAATGGACTGTTATTTTAGGAGATTTTCAAATAACAAATTAAGTGTGAATGACAATAATGGGTTTTTTTGTTGAACACATAGTATGTACTAAAAATTGCAGTAAGTGTTTTAACATGTATTAATTACTTTAACCCTCTCAACAACCCTGAGTTTCAGAGTTTGGAGTTGAAGCAAAGAGAATAATGATTTGGGATTATTGTTCATACAGAAGAGTAATGATGTGAGGAAGGAATTAAGAAGTGGTAAACTAACAAAGTTGAGCAGATATGACATAATTTTTTTTCTAGGGAAAACATTGGGCTTTGGCTCTGCAGAGAAAATCCAAAGTATCATTCTAGGTCTTTAAATTTCTGAATTTTTAGACTTACAGTGTAAAATGTCTTCTTTGAGGGCAGCTCTCTGTAGTATTATGGTGTTAAACTAGTACTTCAGTTAGGGAAGACTCTGGGCTTCCTGAAGAGAGCCTGATAGCAAGGACTTCTAGTTGGCCATAGCAGAGAAAAGAAAGTCAGGGAGGCCCTGGGAAGAATCCTGATTGGTGGAATCTGAATGTTGTGGATACCTGATGTCAGCTGTTGTGTTTTCTGCCCACATAAGCCTTAAGTCACTTTTTGTAAAAGGCTGAAGAATGGTCTTAGTTTTGTTTGGCAACTAAAGATTTGAGGTTACTTTTCTGTGGAGTAGCATAGAGAAAGGCAGGTGCCTAACAAGAAGTGACAGGTAATTGTGGAATCTGAGATTTCAGGATGGGGAGTCTGGTAAGAGACACATGAGATCCACCAGTCTTCCAGGGTAGTGAAGGTTCCAAGCCAGTTAGGTAGAGGTTGGGAAAATTTTGGGAACTTTAAGTTCATCTACCCTTTTGAAATTGAAGAATTAAACTGACATGAAATAACAGCACTGGAAACTTGGGGGCTGGACAGTGACAATGGGGGCAGCAGAAAAGGGTGAGGAGTAGTTGCCTGGTGATGCTTACTCTGTTTATGACCCAAAAAAGTTGAAGTGATTTCATGCTGATGGGAGAAGAGCACCTGTGACAGTAAAAGATCCGGAAGGCATTTTTCTGGTGCCAACCCCAGGTTATAGTGTGAGCATCCAACCCAAGTAGGTAACAGGGCCTGTGAGGCTGTGATGTGCTTTCCTCACTCACTGGATTCACAGCCCTAAAATCTCTTAACATGGCCTATTTTGTTTCTTTTTCTTCTCTTCACTTTATTCTAACTCTTTATATCCTTCTTATACTGGATGAGAATATATTTAATAACAAAAGTAAGTAAACCACAAGGAAAGAGTCCATTCAGAACTTCCCACCGGGGGGCTTGGTGCCTGTGGCTCAGGTGGCTAAGGCGCCAGCCATGTACACCTGAGATGTTGGGTTCAAATCCAGCCTGGGCCCGCCAAACAACAATGACACCTGCAACCAAAAAATAGCCAGGCGTTTTGGCAGGTGCCTGTGGTCCCAGCTACTCGGGAGGCTGGGGCAGGAGACTCACTTGAGCCCAGGAGTTGGAGGTTGTTGTGAGCTGTGATGCCATGGCACTCTACCCAGGGGGACAGCTGGAGGCTCCTGTCTCAAAAAAAGAACTTCCCACCTGGGATTAAGAATAATTGTAAATGTTGTCAGATGGTTACTGGTGACTCAGATCCTTGCACATGGGCTGGTTTGCCATAGCCGGGTGCATGTGGGAATGCCCTGTATACAAACCCAGCCCTGGTTCTTTCCAGACTGATGTGATGTGGAACACCCTTTGCAATCTGTATGGATAGGCACAAACTCTGAGTACCTTGCCCAGGCTGTGTAAATTTCTTTGGTGGTATGGACCGCCTGAGTCCTAAGGATGGCTCTATAATGCTGTTTAAACTCCATTAATCAGGGAGCTAAGAAATGGAGCTATGGAACCTGGGCCAAGAAGAAAGTCAGTCAGCTCAGTGGGTAGGGCGCCGGCCACATACATGGAGGCTGGCGGGTTCAAACTCAGCCCGGGCCTGCTAAACAACAATGACAACTGCAATAAAAAAAATAGCTGGGCATTGTGGTGGGCACCTGTAGTCCCAGCTACTTGGGAGGCTGAGGCAAGAGAATCACTTAAGCCCAAGAGTTTGAGGTTGCT